TACCGTATACAGACATTTTTCACCAGGTTGGCCGTCTGGACAGTTGTCATGTGATGTCCATTTGTGAATTTGATCCACAATAGCAGTTTTCACTTTATCACAATTCACTGCCCAAATCCTAAAACAAGATAATACAAGAGTTTTTCTTTCCCTGAAGCAAGACAAGAAGCATTTCTTCTTCCTTCATTCCATGTGGTATTCTAATCAAAGTCACCAAACATTTCAATTCAGTGTACCTCCAACAACATATTACAGTTCCCACAGGGCATCTAGAAATTGCGAGAGGGCAGACAATCTGTTTGATTTTCTTGTGAGGGGCACTTAGTAATTATATTACTGCCTTATAGGGTTTTCTTGCAAGTACCATGTTGAGCCCAGAATGCAAGTTTAGTTGTTACCTCTGCAGTACCACAGAAGGAACACAAAATTCTGGATGGATAAAGGGAGGGAGGAGGGGGAGGGGTTCAAAGGCCCAAGATATTCTGGAGAGGGAGGGGATGGATAGTTAGATTTCTCAACCTTCCACTGTGATTGGGAAAAAGGCAGGAATCCCAACCTTTTCAAATCAAGATATTTGCAAGGGTTTGATTTATATTTATTACAACTTTATTTGCATAACAAAGATATAAATATCTACATGCAAATAGTGTGGCCAGCAGGAAGGTCAGGGAAGAACTTGATCCTCACGTTTTGGGTGCAGCTCTCTCCAATGATGAAGGTAACGTAGCAATATAGGATGAAAAGCATTCAGCCACAATGCTAAACAAACGGCATTCAATGAAATACATGAACTGAAGAGCAAAGTGTATCGCGTGAGCTATGCATGCATGAAAAACCAATGCAATCTAATTGCGTTACGTAACCTAATTGCAAGACTTGTATTTTCTTTCCATTCATTATGTAAATCTTACCAGTCTATTTTGCAAGACGCATGGAGTGGTCCTTGAATGGGTGTTGCAAAGTAAACCGCAACCAAGAAGACGAAAATACCTTTCATTTTCGCTCGTGAAGTGGAACAGACGACTGGAATTCACAAGACTCAACTGACGTTGTGACAGATTCACATGACATCTCACTATTTGGGCATGATGGGAAGGAATTGCTTGAGTGGAGACTGGGTCAGACACATGTGTCATGCTAAAGATGGCGGACGGCATTGGCAGGGACGAATCGCCAGAACAAATTGAGTCTCTAGACGAGCATAGAGGCGACAAGGAAGTCCCAGATCGCGAAATTAATGGCGATATCGAAGAAGAGCCTGCGAAAGGAAGCCTTCAACCAGCGTCTGGGGGCTCTAAGAAGAAAAAGAAGAAGAAGAAAAAGGGCGAAGTAGGAAGTGAAACTTCACCGGAGTCTTTACCTAGTTCGGCAGTAAACTTGCAAAGCTTACGGCAGCTGCAGAATTTACAGAAGAGTTTCGAACTTTTGCGAGCCGGGGAAGCGAAAGCCCCCAGGACGACAGAGGAGGCTTTGAAGAAGACATATCAATTTTGGGATACTCAACCAGTTCCCAAACTAGGTGGGTTTCGTTAGGTTTTGTTTCAACTCGTTTGCAGCTGGATTCCGAGTAATAATTGGATTTGATTTGTTGTTTTATTGATTAGCCTCTGCGCACATGCCTCATGTATAAGGAAGATGAGAGGTCAAGTCAATGCATGACACCCTTTTTGTATTCCAGACATGGTTTGTTTTTTTTTCCTTTTCGCGGACTTTAATTGGCTTTTTATTTTCTGTTTTGTTGCTAAGAACGTTTTTGACTGAAAGTTTGCTCGATCACAAATTACTAATTAAAATGTAGCTACCAAGTAGATCAGTTTTGAGATCATTGTTTTTCAAAAGCTTCCCTAGTGTCACAGTATCAATTCACATGGAACGAACATTGTTCAGTAATGTTGTTGAAAATAACTTTTTCCTTGTTGCCCACGTGGATGTGTACAATACAGTTTAGAGAAAGTTTATGGAATGGAGAACTTTACAGTTTCATTAAAACAGGTGATTGATTTTTCTTATTCAGCTTACAGAAAAAAATAACGCTAGTCTGTTGACAAACTTTTATTTCTTCCTATGAGTTATTTTTTTCAAGCGTGCAAGCAATGCAAGAAAATTAAACGAAAGGAAAAGGAAAATTGATTTGAATCTCAAGATTATTGTTTCCAGAGGAATAAAATGTGTCCTGGTATCCTAGGAGAATAATATAACAATAATTTTGTAATTATAGCCCAAAGCAGAGAAGATTATTTTGAGGGTCCCCTATACCTCTTCTGAAAACAGTTTCACGCAAAAGTAATTGGCATTTTCATGCATCATGAAAAATTCGAAAAACAGCTTCACATTCACAGAAAAAAGTAAGCAATCACGTTTCACGCGAAAATGCAAAGGCTAAATCAAATTCTAAATGCAAATTCTATTCATGTTTCACAAAACATACAAATACAATCATTACAAAAATGTATCTGGCAATACTGAAATGTACCACAGTAGATATAGCTGCACATGGCCATGTTTTGATAATTTCAGACTCTCTCGTCGTCAGCATGTCTAGATCTTTTGTGGATTGGGTATTATGCATGTACAGTGCAACCCCGTTAATACGGACACCAAGGGGACATGAACAGGTGATGACATGACAGGTTACAGGAACACTATCTATAAAGGTTGACAATGCAGACTGCAGCTAGGTCATGCACGAGGTCACCAAGCAATAAAGATGACAATATGAATAAAATATGCAAATGCTACCT